GGACCCTGAGAATACACAATTTTCCACTTCGAGCTACATCCATTTGGCAATATGAACATTTATGCATGAGATTTGTAATGTCTACTCTGAATCTGCTTACTTTTCTACATATCATAGGTCATTCCTTTTCACCAAGCTAGCCATATATGAAACACAATACCTTACAGTCTACTAAATTGTTTCTTCTGGTAAGCTGTACTGTGTTGGCCGGCACAGTTTGATCTTCTGTTGCGTTACCTTTATTATTAAACTGCATGCCTAAATTCCCATTTGAATTTGTCTGTCTCTCAATGATCTTTCTTCTGCCTTTCTTCCTTTGATAAATGTTCAGAATTTTATGCCCCTTTAATGTATTTGTACGCTTTAATCAGGAGATTTTTCCATCTTCTTTCTGATAAACTAAACAGATGAAACTCTTAAAGTCTCTCACTTTAAGAAAATTTCCCTAACTCAGATCACAGTTTGGTGTCTTTGTTCAGTACCCTTCCTAACACTTTGTTGTCCTTTTAAAACTTGGACACGGAATTTGATGCAATGTCCCAGAACTGGTCTCATTAATATCATATAAAATAATTAGTGACCTTCATGCTTCTACTCAGGCTTTGAATCCTTCCACACCACTGGATAACGCAGTAGCACAGTGAAAACTTTGCCACAACGGTGCTGATTTGTTCAGCACGAACTCTGAATCCTGCTTCAGACTCACTGCTTTCTCCAACTCTGCCCACAATCCCAATTCATATATCTCCTAATATCCTTCCTCTGTCTGTTTTAAACTGTTCTACTTAAATGGACTGAGCTTAAGAAATGACTTGTTTTCTTGCACTCATTAATATTTATACCTCAGTCAAACTTTTTTTCAGTTCTTAGTTTTAAACCATCAGTGATTTTGTATTTTCTTTCCAGATCTCAGATGGCAGTGCTGAACATCATGCTTACAAAAACTCCCCACAGCAGCTTTTTGTCTAGAATTTAGGATGTGGGTGCTGATCTAGAGAAGTTGCATCTCAGCTGTGCCAGGCTGCTTCTGACTCTCTAACTTTTATATCCCATTGTAAAAGTCCTCAGCTTGACCTGTTTCTGACTCATATATGACTTTTGTTAGGTCATGCAATGTCACAGACCTGTAATTCTGGACATTTTCCTATCTCAGTCCATGAAATTCCAACCTGACAGTCTTCAAGTCATGATGCCTTCAAGGCTCATCTCTCCTCAGATTTTAGGTGAACACTGATTTGACAGACAGAATAGATCAAAGACAGGAGTAATTATAGTCGTGGTGATTCTGATTTTCTGCTCATGCCTGGTTTTGTGTAACAGCTTATTTGGAACAAAAATGTTCACCCTAACTTTTGATGGTGTATATTCAGCTGGTCACAAATGATTTTTTGAACACAGCTTGACATTATCCATTTTTTTCTTGATTTTTGTTCACTACTTAATTAACAAATTTCCATTTAATTGTTTGGTAAGGCTTCTTTTACACTTTAAAGATGTTCAGGACACATTCAGGAAAGTGAAATAAAGTACTGTTTTAGGACTGAAATTGGAAAATGGTTTAAATCCTTATAACTGCAGCAGCATTTACCAATAACCCACAGGAACAACACAGAATCACTACCAGGGCTAGCATTCTTATTGGTAGCTTTTCCTGGCAAAATACGATTAGACCAGAATATGATTAGACCGGAAGACTGGGAGGTTATTGTCTCTCTCCGATAAAAGACTTCAATAATGGGAAGCCTTCGCTGCCTCTACCTGTGAACAAAATGTACAGCTTTCCTTCTCAGTAATTTAAAGTTGCATGATCACTTTATGCTAATCACAAGTCTATTGTAGCTTACTTCTGAATGCACCAAAGGACAAAAATTTTGCTGATATTGAAGTCTTATAGTTCTGCCTGTTAGAAAACGCATGCACAAATTCTTTAAAAAAATGCAACAAGTCAGAGCAAATTCCCTCTGGAGGTGCACAAAGCCATTCCTGGATCTATGAAATAGTTGTGTATCAAGGAGGAAGCTATGTGCATTAATATTAAAAGGAGATAAATTCATACTTTGTGAAAGGAGTGTAACTTTCTCTAACTGCTTAGCCAGAGGCTTGTTTTTCAGAGGCAATGTACAATAAAACTGAAGAGTATTTACCATGCCAAATTATTTCTTATGTTTATTTGTAAACAGAAAGCCCATACTTTGCCAGGTAGGCCTTCCTAAAGTCCACTGCCTTCCTCAGGTTTTACTATATTACCAAGTCTCGCTCCTTTTTAACTATAAGAGTATTCCTCCAGTCAGCTCAGGTAGTTGAAAGCCTTATTTGTCCAACAGTATTCTTGAAATACATGTTTTTGATTAAAGGTAATTTGAAAGGGCAGAATTCTGCAGTACTCAGCCAGCTTTTACTCAGTAAACACACCGAGCTGAGAACAAGGGAAAACATTCCTTAAAGAAATATTTAGTTAAAAATTGCAGATGATTTCTAAAATAAAACTTGCTTAAACAAAATGTATTCCTTATGATGAACATGTTGTTTCAGAAGCAGGCAATAAAATTATTCAAGATATCTGAGACTTCTAACTGACTAATGAAAGCAAACATTAGTGATGCTATCATGCAAAAAGGTAAACACCACTTTGAGGAAATCCATAGTCACAACGATTACTGTTTTCCTTATTCAGCATTAGTTACCTTGATTTTAAAGTATTCTATTCCATGGCAGTCTTTAAAAGTAACAACTATAAGTACAACAAAGAAAGATTTATAAAAAATTTGGAGAAGTGAAAAAATGACATAGAAACCAATTCGCCTTTCAGAGAAAGTGATCAATATTGAAGCTAACAATGGGACTTTCTATATTTGTGTTCTGGATAATTTATTTACATTCAGAATAAAAATATAGGATATATATATGCTGTAGTGTAGGAATTCTATACACCCCATAAAATACAAATACAACTTTCTTGTACAAGGCCATAAGAAAGAAATCTAAGTGTTATATATATGTGTATATACACAGTAACTTCATTCTCCTGCCTTGAAAATAGATAAAATCCAGTAAAGTGTAACTGGACTCTCATATCTTATTTGCTTTATAACCACATATGATGTTTTACAGAAATACAAATGACTACATGTTGCAACACTGTGACATAGTCAGATACTTTCAGAATGATTGATAATGAAAACTATGTCAATTGGATAATTTCAAATTGAACTAGAAAGAGAACATGTTAAGTACTTACTTTCTCAGAAAGGGAAATACTGTCTCCAGCTATGGGAAGAAATAAAGAACTAGGTTAGCTCCTGAAAGAGATTAAAGAAACATTTTTCCTGAAAAATAGTACTGAAAGAGTATTCAGAACAATTTAGAAATATCTAACAATTTATACATTTATGAATAATCTAGAAATACACAAATCAACTTACACATAGAATAAACACTGGAAAAGCAAATAAGCAGGATTAATTTTTAACTCTCTGATTTCAGTTAATACTGCTATTAAAATACTTAATTGCCAGTTTCAATTAAAATATGAATAAACCACAGCGTGTTAGAGGTTTCTATGTTCGTATTTTGTACATGTCCAAATTTGCAACACTCCAGAATTTGTACAACATAATATTTATTTTAAGACATTAAATCCAAATTTTGAAATTGAAGCAAGATTTTTTAGCAGACCATCTAAATGGAAGTTGCCATAAAACTGTAACTTTTCGTGTCCTGAGTAACACAGTCTTGGGAGGAAAAAAATTACATTCCTGGTCTGCCCTGAACATGGCATCTGCATACACACATGCCTGTATTTTCCGTTTTGGGACTCCCTCTGTTGTTAACAAGCAACATTCAGCAAAGGTTTTTTACAAGTGAGAAAATGTCTAAGGGTTTTATACTATTCCCTGTGTTTAATTCTAAAGAAAGGCATATTTAAGCACTTCTAAAAGAGTGAATTGGCATTAATAAGCGACAATGAAGTGGGTAAGTAAAAAAGATTCACATCCTTCTGCAACAGTTTTGAGTAGAAGTAAGCACAAACAGGAAAAGCTCTTCATCTTTTTTGAGACTCCAGAAGCCACGAAAGGTTTAGTTGCACTGTATATCACAGTGTTATTCACAGTTTTATTTATGCATATATTTAATGATTGTATTGTGTTTTCAGTGTGTTGGCCAGCACCTGAGTAAGTTCCACAACAATTAAGACCTTTGCATTGGGTCCACATGGCTGATCACAGTGCCGATACTCCTCTGTTAGCATACGCAGAGCACACTTCCGAATGTCAGTGGAAGTTCTGCATATGTATGGAGAGAAGGCTATAGGAGGTGGCATTTGCCATGTGGCCCTGAGATGAAAATTTTGCCCTAAGATAGTCCCTTCAGTAGTTGTGGGTTTTTTCCTACCGCAGCAGTCACTTCTGTTCTAACAGAAAACAAACCTCTAAGACAATACCATTTGCCAAGAGACTGTTTGATGATATATTGTATTATGTTTCAATATTGGTATAAAATATCGGCTAAACAAAAATTGGTGGTAGCAGTACTAGTCTTACTACTTTTTTTTTTCTGATATAGGTTTTTGTTACACCACGCTCAGTTAAACAAACCTTACAGTAGACTCCAAATTATGACATTCCATGTGCACAGCTATTTGTGTAGAAGACATTATTTAACTCTGTGATAAAGGATTGGTTACTGTTGACCTGAAGTGTTTTGTCTCCAGAAGTCCTGAGGAAGAGATAACAGCAGCCTGTAACTATGCAACTTAGCAAAATAAAATTTGAAAATAGAATGACAGATATATAAAGAACTTACTGTTTGCATTTCTTTGCTACTACTATTTTTGAAGCTTAAACTACCTTAAAAGGCAATCCTAGCTTTCCTATTTTCCTGTTCACACAAGAATGAACTAAGTGACTGACTGTGAAAAACTAAAATTTCCCTAGCAATATCTCTAACAAAATGTTTTGTTCTTTTTTGTTGTTTGTTTGTTTTTCCTTGCTGTTAGCTTGGTAGCCACAAAGGAAACAGACAGTGCAAGATCTCGTAGTATGCCAATGTCGCCATCCGATTTCCTGGATAAGTTAATGGGTAGGATGTCAGGCTACGATGCCAGGATCAGACCAAATTTCAAAGGTAATTTCAAAGCTAAAATTTCAGGTTTTCAATATTTCAGCATTTATTCTCACACAAACGCAGTTTCTGGAAAAAATATGAAAATGAAGAAGTACGCTCACTGAAAAAAAAAAAGTGCCTTCTTTCCTGTCTTTGCTATGACATTTCTTTTCAGAAGCAATATGCTCTATTCCTGTCGCTTTCACAGTCACCCAAATGTAGACCTGAAGAAAATTTAGCTTGTCACTAGATTTGAATTGTCTAATAGGTGTTGGGTTTTCTTTTCTTTTCTGAAGTGCTTGGTAGCGGATTCCAATACCCATCTTGGACTACCATTGGCCTGAAGCACTCCAGAAAGCAAGTTCTATCTATGAAAGACAAGCCAAACCCTCACACCTGCCTGACCCTAACCAGAAGGAACAGTGTGTTTATGACATGACCATCGAAGTCAAACTCAAGAGAGCTTATGTTAGTTACCGAAATCTATCACCAAATTCTCCTGTGACATTAGAGTCCTCACTCATGTGCCTCAGTTCTGCTTTGAAATGCCAAAATGGAACATCTTTCCTCTTGCTCCTTTCCCTCGTCTCCGTTCTCCACTGAAACTGCAGGTTGTCAAGGTGTCTCTTGGCATGTGCCCTTTAGGCGCTTGTCACAAAGGAGATTCAAAGACAAAGGAAGAAGATTGAAAGTCTGAAGTCTGCAAATGCAATCATTACATCTTCCGAGCGTCTTAGCACAAACCATCTCACCCAGACTCAGGCATGCTAAAGCAGACTGTTTCATGAGGGATTATATAAACTACATAATTATGCAATTATACAAACTATTATACAGACAGATACGACCCATTCTTACTTTTGCAATCTGGGATGTTTAGGTAAATTTGACTATTCTTTTTTTAGAATGTAAGGAATTCCAGCAATGTAGTAGGACTATATTTAACTCTATTTCTGAATCTTTTAAGCAAGTTATCAGACTTTAAATTCTCGAGAACAGAAATATTTTTTAAAGAATAAACCTATTTTGATTTAAAATAAAATTGTTTTTACTTTGCCTTAGCTGCCTGTTCCTATGCCTACCTTCTTGAGTCCAAGAGACTCTCTTAGCTCTAATGTTTCACTATAAGGTGGGTTTTACTCCATATTTACTACAAAAATTTTTGCTCAAGCAGACAGTCCTTCCTCCTCTAAGCCATCTGTCACTGCCTTTCCATCTTAATTCTTATTCAGCACTAAATTTTACAATTTTGTGACATCTCCAAGTCCCAGAAACTTAAGTGGTTATGACTCTAAAACCATTGCTCTTTGCTGGTTTTGGCAGAATTTGCCCAGACTGATTCATAAGGACCAAGCAGTTTGTCAAATTACTTCCTCATCAGCAAGGCATAAACAGTTGGTGCTGCTGTGTATACAAACTTATTACCCAGGATTTACTGCAGCTGGAAATGCTTTGCTTTTAGTAAGGTAGTGGTGCTGATATTTCTCAGAAAATGATAATCATGCGCTGGAAATTCAAACGCATTGCTAAAAGATTTACAACGGGGATCAATATCCCTGAAGACCACACAGAATAAGTCCCTTGGACTTTCCTTGTCAGAACTTCTTGGAAGAATGTTCCAGTGCCTGGCTTCCTGGAGGATTAATGTATCAAATAACATTTGCAAAGTAATGTAAAACACTGTATTTTTAAAATTACTTTCTTATATGAAAGGTAGCCCTTAAATTATTTTTGCTCCTTGTTAAAGTTACCTTGACTTGTTGCCACAATATACTCTTTAGCATGCAAACCCGCAGGTTCAACCTAAGGTAAAGCTGTGCTGGGCAAAACACCTCAGGTAAAGTCTAAGCAGCACAGTTTTTCTTCTTTCTTCTCTGAGTCTCCTGAAGCCCTACAAACAAATGTTTAAAAATGAGGAGCTTACAGTTTAACAGCTGATTTAGGGATTGGAATTTGGAGTTTGTCATGGACACCACGCAATCACAGTATTCTGATGGGGCTTCAGCGAAGAACAGGCAAATGGTCTGGCGATTAGTTAATTCAACACAGTACTTCTCAAAAGTATAATTCAAAAGATTTAGAACCTTGTTTTGTAACTACTGAAATTTAAAGAGACAAAACCTAATTTGACATTGTTCTTTTTCAAAAAGTGCACATTCTAAATCTTCTAGACAGCTATGCAGTTTGAACAAATCTGCCCAGAATGATTCAGACCTGTCACTAAGAATAAGCATCTCCTTAAGTGACTTTGCCACTTTCTGGTTAGTTTTATTAGTCCTAGAACAAGTGCTGGGGCTTAATGCCTTTTTGAGTTTTTAATCTGGCAACAGTTTTAAAGAAACAGAATGAGTACAGCTAAGAGAATTCAGACAATAATTTTAAACCATATGTTCTTCCAGTAAAATTCATATGTAGACAAGATTTTAACCAGCTTTTCCTCATAATTATTCTTGGTCAATAACACATAATTATATATTTTGCCTGAGTGCTCTGCTTTTGCATAAGGAATTCTGCATATCTGTTCTTGTTCAACAGAAATAATAGAGAAGACTGTTGGTATTTATTTAGCTATGGAATAAAACAGAAAATTAAGAACTCTTGTAAAATCTTTGTTCGAGTTGGAAAACATTCTTATTTCCAGTACATAAAACCTATAGCAAGGTGCTTCATTTACTCAGCTGTTCCACATCCCAGTCTATATCTGTTCCTGCAACAAAGGGAAATGCTTCACTACTCAGCTGTTCCACATCCCAGTCTATATCTGTTCCTGCAACAAAGGGAAATGCTTCACTGTCTTTCATACTTAGACATAATTATGCAATCCATGTGTAAAAATTGTCATGGCCTCAAGATGCTCAGAATTAACCTGACACAGAACAGGTGTTACATTTTCAAATTTATACAGCCCAGATTGTACCATTGATAACAATCTATTAAGGTGGATATTTTGAGATTTACATAGGAAAGTGTAAAGTGTTCCTTGCCCTGGTGTTGCCAAACAGCAATTCAGCAATCCCTAGTTTAGGAACTTTTTAAGCCAGGACTTAACTGAAAAAATTAAATTAGATAAATATGTTCTTCTAGTCACTTCTGGAAGCCGCTTATACTTTTGGCCTTTCCAGTATTTTAGAGCAATAAAATATTTGTGTTTTGGAATAGTGAAAATTATAATTCTTTATTTGCTTTGAATTTGGTGACTATCTTACTGATTTTCTTGCCATGTAACCTATTCAGAAATGGAGGAAAAAGATTACTTCCTTTAGATATTTACAGATTTGTATACTTAAATATTGCTCCCTACTGGATACCTTTCCCAATGTGTAGACTTCTGTTCTACTTAAGTTGTTTCTGTGTGGCAGCATTTCATAGAATGTGTGATCTTTCTTTGAGTTCTTGACATCTCTTTTCTCCCTAATATATCCTTTTGAGGCAGACAGAGGAGAAATTTTGGAGTATTCAAGACAGAAGTTCATGATCTACTTATATGGGAGTCCATTTATTGTAATGTATTTCTTTGAATTCTCCTATATTGATTACAGAGCATGCTTCCAGAGAACCATCCATAATTAATATAGCCTCTCTTTCCTGCACGAAAATCTTTAATTTGTAGCCCAGAAATAGGAATGCATAGGAAGGATTATTTGGCATTTAACTGATGCTGAATTTCATCAGACATTTTATTGCTTGATAGCTCAGTATTTTGTGATTTTGCTGCATCTCCTTGCAGTCAGCTTTATACATAACTATCCTAAATAATCTTCTATCACAAGCAAATTATATTGCTAGATCTTCTTTTCTAGGTCATTAATATTGAACAACAAAGATTCAGTTCAGATCCATGAGGGAACTCAGCAGCAATCACCTCACTCTGAGAAAAATGTCTATTTACCCCTAAAATTAAATAGCTTTAAAGCAAAAGGCCTATAAATGGACTGTCTCTCAGTTTGTGAAGACTAGTATCCTTTAACAGCTTTTGACAAAAGAGCAGGTTGAAAAGTTTTTTAAACTCCAAATAAACTATTTTAATTAATTTAATTATTTATTACAATTAAAATTAAAATGTATTTAAATTCATTACATTTCCTTAGTTCACGTGCTCACCAGCTCTTTCAGGGAGCTTCAGTAGATCCGAGACGTTATTTCAGCAAAACTAATATTAATCCATATCTTTTAATCATAAGAGTTCTCATCATTTCTGCCAGTTTTGCTGGTACAGAGGTAAAGTTTACAGGGATAATGTTCATTGTCAATGTCATCTACCATCATACCTGGTCTGTTTTACTTTTCAAATTCAAGTTATACTTGCTGGAGACGGTACACATTTCTGCTGATAACCAAACTGACACAGGTGTTAGCTGACTCACAATGATTCATCTTTCCACAATTTTGGAAATATTTTTATAATGTCTGGCTTGATATCACCTCAGCCTGTCAGTTTGTTCCTGTTCACTTAGTCTGAAACGTCTTCTACAGTCCTTGCACATATCTTCCATCAGAATGGCTCCAGTATTTAACGTGGCTGGCAATTGGAGACAAATGCTGCTACAAAGACTTCATTTAGTTTTTCTGCTCTGACCTTCTTCACTTTCACAGATACTTTTACATCTTAATCATCTTCTCTTGACTTCACCTTCCAGATCCTGACAGGATTCTATTTTTAACGCCTTGCAGACAGTTATCATTGTTAGCTTTTCTGTCTCTAGTGAGTTTCAGCTCTAATTTTTTCCTCTCTGTCTTTAATCTCTGTTCAATTTTCCTGAGCTCCTGTGTTTGAATATGACTTCCAGTTTCAAGGGCTTAATTTATTTTTCTTTTTGACCGTGCTTTGGGAAGTTCATTATTACTCTCAGCACAGTATCTTTAAGTAGTCTCTGAACCATTTGCAAGCTGCTTTTAGCTTCTCCTTTTATGTTATTTTAACCAGCTGTTAACCATATTTTTGTAATGCTGCTTTTGAAAGTAAGCATCTGCATTGTAGTGATTTAGGGCTTTTTCTTTATAAAAGCAACTACGTTTGTTGATACAGCAAACTTACATTTTAAAGCATAGTACTGTTTTAAACAAGACAGTATCTTAGCATATTTGAAATGCTGACAAGTATTATAACATGCAAGTATCTGAAAGGAAATTTGTCTTGCAAACAAATTATCTAACACAGCCAGGTAGTACAGTTTTCTCCCTGGCAGTTTTTAGTGACTCTGCCTTTGTTCTTCTCCCCTGTTTTTTCTTTTTCCTCTGCTCCTTTTGATGAGTTGTCAAAGTCAAGCTTTTACTGAATTCTAAGTACTGGACATGCTCAACAGCTCTAAATAATTAGCCAAGTATCAAAGCGAAAAAAATAGTGTCAAATTGACTGCAGAGTGATGCCTCCTCAGCCATAGGTATAGTCTTGTGTATTATAATGACTGAGGTACACACAGCGATTTTTTGTTACAATTACCATACAGTACTTCAAAACAATTGTTTCCTTGAGGAGGGAAAGCTGTATGTTCCAAGTTATGATCTGTTGGCAGAATTTTTAATGGACGTTCTGATTCTTGAAGTGTTTCATATCAAATTCATTGGTCACATTTGATGTTGTTAGTTGCAAACCACCAGCAGTGCCAGAGCAGTTTCTTACTTCAGTGACCCTAAAAAAGAAATATTACATAACTGTCTGTGGGACCAGGCCTCAAATTCCAGATATAGATCTTTCATTATTACTGACTGCTTACACTGGCAAAAAGAAACAAGGTTCTCCAATGCTGAATTGGATTATTGATATAAGAATATCAAGGTGCAGGCGAGTGACAGAAAAACCTTGTGATGAAAAAGCCTTCTTTCTGCTGTACACAGACTGAAATTGATAAGAAATAATGGAGAAATTAGCATGCTCTACCACAATGCCGTTTTTACAGAGACTTTCAGATAAATAATTTAAAACCTTTTCCATGAAGAGATGATTCATTGTTCAGTTATCATGACTGCTCTGCCACCACTGAAGCTTCACAAACGCAAGATAAGACAGGACAACAATTGACTGAAGACACATGGTAACAGAAAATTCAGTTTAAATGGATTCTGAACCATTTTGTGGATTTAAGAGAAATGAGAATAGAATCTAAGTCATTCTTTCTTATCCACATTTTTTCCTGTAAGCAGTAGAGATAAGAGCAGAAATAATGTATTTCTCTTCCTGGTGATGACAGATAGCACTAAAGGTAGCAGGTGCCCTGAGTGAAAAAGGTCAATCTTTTCTTAATTGCTGTAAGAAGTGACCTACATGGCTCACTAAAAAACACATAAAAATATTTTTTACTATATATTTCAAGTGGGATGCTGATTTTTTTGCATAGAATCATCTGTGCAAGTTTATAGTGAACTTTCTCTTTCTTTTCTGGCCAGTCAAGCAGTGTACCTTTGAGAAAAATTGAAAGGAAAATTATTAGAAACCATTCAATTTAACTTTGCATTACATGAGTAGTGAACGTAGCATTATTTCCTCCTAAGTCAATAAATATTGTTTCATAATGGCTTATATTTTACAGTTACTCAATATGCAAAGATTCTGGAACAGGGACTGGTGTTTTTTCTCTTTTGCAGGACCTCCAGTTAATGTCACGTGCAACATATTTATAAACAGCTTTGGATCCATTGCCGAGACAACCATGGTAAGATATTTTACCTCAAACAATGTTTAAAGTTCAAGTTAAATATGTTCATTGAGCTCAAAGCTAGCTAGAGCTTCTCTTCACCTGGAACAAAATGAAGAAAGGAATCCACTTCTGAGAACAGAGACAACATTTCATTTGGAAATTGATTTTGTTCTGACAGAAAATCCATCCTTATACTATCAAACACACAAGTAAAAACAAAGCCAGTGCTTGGGAGGATTTTTATTTCTCCATAATTTTTTTTACAACAGTTGTAATGAACATTATTTTCTAATAGATAGGTATTAGTTTCTGTAGTGTTCTACCTTTCTAACCTCAAAAATTTAAATTCATTAAGTTGCTTTGCTAATAATATATTATAATTTCTTTATATACAGTGCATGTGGGGATATATACTTTATTTTAAAAGTCCTTCCATAGAACTATTGCACAGAGATAACGGAATAACTAGAATGGTGATCTGGCATATAAAATTTCATTATGAGTTCTAAGAATGGGGTAAATATAAATGGATTGCACACTTTTTGTACATATGCTTATAATTTGTCTATTGAAGAAAGGCAGAAGATAGAGTACAAAAAGACTGGAGATTTTAAGGAAATAAGGAGCAAGAGAGGTCAAAGTCTAAAGACAGTAAAACTAAATATTGAACTGTGAACCAACCAAATAACTTCACTAATCTTCTTTAACAGGTGAAACATATATGCTAACAACTTGGCACGCAGGTTTACCCATTAAAATTTGGTGAGAGTGGAGATGTGGGCATTCTTTCTCCTTACAAGTACCTCACACATTTTGAAGAAAGGCAAACAAACACCTTTGAAAACAGTCACATAGTAATATAGGGACAGAGAGGGTTAAAATAAAGAGAGATGAAAGAAGAACTGTGGGAGTTTGTAAGATCCAAATATAGTAAATATTCTGAAATCCAAACAATTTCAGGGGTCAGGATATGTGCTTGGAATGACAAAACACAGACTGAAAATAATCGGTATAGCCAAAAAAATAAAAAATAAAAGGAATAATACTAAGCAAAAGCCTTTCTTCCGAATTGCCAGTAAGAGCAAAAATGAGACTTTTGAATGTAGCCAAGGACTTGTAGTTAGGAAATCCATAACATAAATTCTTAATGTCAAATATTTATGCCCCCTATTTCCAAAGTGATGTTCACAACTGCCTGATCTTTATTCACCTTGGAACCTAGTGGTAGATGCTACTGAGAGAGACAGATGACTTTTTTTGGGTAGAAAATTACTTTAATTTGTATTTGGGTGCCTTGCCAGATTGCAAATCCCAAACAGATTGACATGGCATACAAGGAGATTTATTCAGGTTCGATCAGAGGATTAAGCAATGCCCACATGATTAGAATAGTGCTCCACAGCTACTTTTTAATGACTGGATGAGTGAATCTGGTGCAAAGCAGGAGACAGATCACAGGGTCAGTAAAGTGCAAAGTTCCAGCGATGAAATTGCCATAAAAAAGATACTTGGAAAACTAAAGTTGCTACCACTTTAAAAAATTGTCCTGAGTTTGTGAAGAATATGCGTGAGTTCACAACTCAAGTCTATTTTCTCTCCAAAAATGGAGAATTATAAACATTTCCTTTCAGTACAACTTAGTACAAAACTTGTATCTTATGCTGAGATTGCATTCTGTTCTGCATTGCCTTGAAAGCCAATTACAACAGTCAAGATGACAGACTACAACCTGACCTGTAACATATAGTTCCAGGTAGTATGCTATAGAAAATACCAAACCTCATCAGAACCACAGGATTTTTCATTCTATGGATCATATGCATTCAAAAACTGGACGATTAAGCAAAACCTTGACCTTAGGACAAACGCTGCCTCCATGATGCTGATATTCTGTTTACAGTGTGTTCACTGATACAGTTCAAAACACACTTTAGCTTATTGCCAGTGACTGCTGACCTCTCAGAGACTCAAATCTTCCTTTGCAGAAGAACAAATGCCTTTGTGTAGATAGGACTTTCAACTATGTATTTCACTAGATTTACTTCTCCTCAACACTGAATATTAACATCTTCCAGAAAGCGTGAAAATCTTTGTGTCTTAAAATTACTATGAAAATCATCTAGCATTATTTTATAAGCTGAATTTCTGAATTTTTGAATTTTTGAACAAAATTCAGTTCACTACAGTTCGGTATTTTACGAATTGTCACCATATACCAATTTTTTCACTGTAGTCCTTGAAATTCAGGTACCTATGTCTTAATATTTATTGTCAATCTCTACAAATAGAATGACTTATTAGAACAATTTATTAAACTCAACAAGGACTTTTATATTTTTGATAAATCACTTTTTTTTCAAAGTGTAAACAGAAGAGCTAAAATAAGCAACAAGTGCAAAATAAAACCTGGCCACTAAGTGGTACCTTGAAGTCTCACTGGCATTTACAGCTACCAGTTGAATAATGGGGTATGCATATAATCTATTAGCTTTAAAGAAGTCCAAGCAGATCAAGCCACGTTCTTCACTGTCGCTGTAATTTCTCTTGGCACCGTCAGGCTCTGCCTTGCACCCTGTCCCTCTGGTTCTTGAGTTCTTGCACTGATGACCAAACTCTTTGAGCTCCCTCTGCTGCCTCGGCTGTGTGTGACACAGTAAGCAGCTACAGATGAACATTGGGTTGAAAAAAGAACAAGATCCGCTGCAAAATGGTCTGGTGCCAATTTCACATTACCAGACTTTGTAGTTCTCAGTGAGGAAGAGGAGGTTGTCAGCGTGCGATGGGAACTAGCAGCGTGCAGCAGGAGACGGCTTTCGGGCAAGCGGATTCTCTTAAATGCATCCAGGTCTGTTTAAGGCTTTACAGTGGGGTCTAACAGATGAAGAGAGACAGCCAAACCAAAAAAGTAGCTTACTCTGGCTTACAGCTTGTTAACTCTGTAAATTGTCCTGTTCTTTCTTTCTTTTCTTGTTTTTTTTTTAGTAAATTTCTTTCAACTTCTTTAGAGTATGGGCTACAGTTAATTCGTGTTCCCTTCCTTTGTCTCAAAAGACAAGTCAGATGTTTCATAGTGGGGGAAAGGCATGCCACCTCTTGCTAGGAAGCTGTGATTCTAGTTGAACCTAGATAATTTTAAGTGACCATATGAGGAACTTAATTAATTAAATTTCATCATCAGCACCAATTAGGGTCCAGCTTTGCCAATATTTCTATGTTATTGAGCCAGATGGTAGTACCAGATCTGTGGATGTCTCGATGACAATCACAAAGTGAGGATTTTACACATCCTCTATCCAAGCAAAACTGGTATTGCTTCACACATATAAGGGAAAACCTAGGTCCAGTCTGTAATTTTTTACATGTTGCTACTATTCTTTTTTTCACATAAGGATTTAGAATCTGGAAGAATAGCAGGAGACATTTATGTTTGCTAAGATGAATAGCAAAGTACATAAGCACACAACCTTAAAAATCTGAGAAATCAATCAAACTGTTTGTCAATGTATATTGACAGTATGGGAACCAGATCCTACAGGAAACAATTTTCTTATTGATGCATTGGAACTTGAATTTCAGGTTTTATCACAACATCCTAAGAAGTTCCTTATAGAGTTTCTCCTTGTAGGTCAAGCTGTGCTCAATTTGTATCTGCACTGTATCTCCTAACACCAAGAAAATTCCTGATTGTTAAGAGCAGTGTTGTATATATAGTTGGCAGTTACCAACAACAAAAAAAAAAAAGAAGAGATTATTCAGTCTTACAGGGTGAGAATAACACCTGTACTAACATTTTCAGCTACCAATGTTCAGAGTCAAAATACTGAATAGATGAAGCAAAGGCTACAGAACAGTTAGACTGTGGGGCAGACAGTAGGCCATGCCAAAAAGCCTTCTTTTATTCTAATAATGATGACTGACCAACATCCTCAAGGTTTCCCAAGTTTTAAAAGTCAGTAACCACACTTTGATCTTCATGCAGATTAACAGCAATATTAACTAACGATGTATTAATATGCTTAGCATAATGCACGTGCTAAAAGTGCATTGAAAGGGACACTCACTGAGAGACCTGATGGCAAATGACAACAGTGCAGACAATTAACACATTAAGCAAGAAGCGTATGTCTGTTGTTTGTTCCTGCCACGTTTTTGCTGATGGATATTTCTTGACTCAGTCTGAAAAGAACTGAGTTATCCTGAACATTTTTAGTAAGCACGTGGTAGATGTTTCTGTACTCCCAGCACTAATGAGATTATCTTTCATTTACAAATAAAATGTGCTTTTAACCTACATTAACTCATTTTTAAGCCATCATAATTACTTTCCTTTCAGGAGTCACAGCACTTTAATTTAATTAGCTTCATCTTTCTTCAAGTGAGCATTTCTGCTTATGTTCTATACTACCTGTTCTAGGTTGTCTTTAAATAGTGCTTGAAAGGGTTGTTCACTTGTATACATTGCAAAGCTTAATGCTGAAGAATTTCACCAAATATTTTTCCTAAATAAATAATTTAGTTGATTGTCTCAAATACAAGGAAATATATGCCTTTCTTTGGTGACAATATATTGAAAAATTTGGTGTAATGGATGTAGCAATGTCTTCATACTAAAGTGAAGGGCAGAAATATCTACATTGCACAATTTTTATCTCAGATGAATGAAAGTGCAATAAAGGCCGCTTTATAGCTTTAAAATTACAAAGAAACTTTCAATTTTTTCCATATTTGACAAATAACTCCCTTATATCAAGGCACAGAGAAGTCAAAAGACTGTTCTTGTAGGAGATTGGAAGGCAGATTATTTAATATCCTTTACTAAAACTTCCCTCTGCCACCCTGAGCCTGGGTCACAGAGTCAGGAGTAGACAGCTGTTTTTCAAAATCTAGTGGGTCTGCAGCTGTCCAGTTTGTTTCATGACAAGACTAATCCATGCAAATCACCCTGCTGCACCTATGCTGAACCTGCGTTCTAAGCAGACAGCATCACATCACCCTCCCCAGATACAGCATCTATT